CAGCGAGAAAAGCGAGAGTGGGACTGTCAGACATGTCGACTCCGGCGTAGTGATGGATGGAGAGTGAGGTAAGACAGATGACATCGTCTGTCTGAGGCCGTGTTGTCATAGTGGAGGATTGCCGCTTGTCTTAACCTCTCAATATCAGAGAGCAAACTGAAGTTTGTTTACACTGCTCCAGTGGAGTGATTTAGAATGAGGGGCGAGGGAGACGTGGGTGTAGAAGGTATGCTCGCTGGAGGGTCGGATCAGGTTTCTAAACATTCCCTTTGAAATCGAATAGCAACCGTCCCAGGCGTTTTAAACTCAGCCAGCTCCGCTTGGTTCCAATCCTCAAGGTAGAGAGGAGTCCAAACACAAACACAAACAGAGAAAATGAAATATCAGTAGCAGTCGAGGCCTTTAAATGCCCGTATTAGTCAACAAGCAGCCGGGTTTCTGGCCAATTATGAAGCAGAAAATAAAAAAAGTGGGTACATTCTTGCCTCTAGTTTGGTATGGAGCCATCATAAAGCAATAAAAAAACAAAATATCTGTTGTGAGAAGCACTAATGTACGCTTACATATTAGTGTCTGCCAAAGGTAAGTCAAATATTTTCTGCGAGTGAAAATGTGAGTAAAGTAAGTTCCCCTACGCCTCCGATCATGGTTGTGTTTGCATCCTTTTGTATCAGTTGCTTACTTTCAACAATGCATCATGGAAAAAGCTTATTTCTGGCTTTCAAACAAAGGCCAGAGTTAAGCAAAGGGCTGATTGATTTACGGCATCTTGTGTTGCTAAAACAATACAATGTCCTGGGGAAGAAAAAAAAAAAAAAACATCCCCGGAGATGAACTTGCTGAATGCTCTTCAAAACAACATGGTCCTGGGGTGTGTGTTATTGCGATGGAAGATGGATTGGAGTCTGGCTTATTTTGCCAGGAGTCAGGTGTGGGGCTGGAGGAGGAGGAAGGGGTGTCGGGGATCGGCACTGGGGGTGAGGTGTGGGGGTTTAGGCTCATTTCCAACCCCAGCCTGAAGTCAGCGCTGGGCTGGGTTGTTGGGTATATATATATGTGTGTGTGTGCTGTGTGTGTTTGGGCTGCGGAGGGGTGGGGTGGTCCGCCTGCGGGGACCTGGGTGAAGGGGTTGGATTACACTGTCATCTACTTGTTCGATCACTGTTGTCTGAGATACCAGGGCCACGTGTGAGTGCCGTCTTTGTCGCGTTAGTATCAAAGTGGTTACTTGATTTACTTTTGGGAGAATTCCACATGACTGGACGGGGACTGATCTCTTATAGGGAATTATGGAATCGAGCGCTTCTTGGGTGTAATGAGTATACTGTTCTGTCCAGTTGAGGTAGGCTGTGTGACAAGTGTTTGTTAAGAGTGTGTAAAAATACAGGAAGGGGTTTGTGAGAGAGGGAGAGGGGTGTCTGCGTGTTGAAAGGTGCTGCAGACTTTCTTCGTTCATTTAGTCTCTCAGCAGAAGCAATAACAGATGCTTTAGAATGAGCTGCTGTACAACACGAACATTACTGGGTAGCGACTGCCATCATACCTCCAGGTATTGTTCTTGCATTTTTGAGGTATTTGCACTTTAGTTGATGTATTTCCATTTACCCTGACTACTTTACACTTTGACTCCCACATACTCTGTGGGAACTGGACACCTATTGTATTGTCAAATTCCACGTACAGATTCGATTTAAGCAGCATTGAGTTTCCAACGCTCTCCTTTACCTCCCTTCTCTGAAGAATTGCATTGTGCCGCGTGGTTGTCATCTACAATGTAGCCTTTTGGTTGTACTGTGCAGTGGAATTAGAAATACCAAAGAAGGTCTCTGGATGGTATAGTGCTGCCTGGATGGTTGACAATATACCGATGATATGAGAATGGTGAAGCAGAACCTACAA